CCAATCCTTTCCTCCCTCTTGACTAATACAGCGCAGTACAGAGAGCAATAACGAGCTACTCAGTCCCTTCAGGATTCGTACTTGAGTCTGAGCTTTACGCGTGCACTGGACTCTTGTGCAGTTTGGGGAGCCACTCAAAGAGCACCCCAGGCCTACCTTGGGCTTTGATCCCGATCTGTTAGAGGAATGTTATTTTTTTAATAACAAAAAGAGTCTAAAGCTCCTGCTGAAATTGAACTCCATGATGCTCACTTAGCTGTGATCTAGCCACACAAAACAACACTTTTTTTTTCTTCAAATGCATTATTTTTAGCCTGCTACTTTTGAATTGGGTTTTAAAAATCTCCAAAGAAACACCCCTCAAAGATCATGTGGAAGAGAATGGATATTCATCCTTCCCAGAACAACCAACTCCCTCAGAAGCTGACGTGTCCCTTTCACCTGGGCATCTGACGCAGCAGAGAGCAGAAACTGTGCAAGTGGCTTTAATAAAAATCGAAAACAAAATCCAAGCAATACTGTGTCCTTCTCCTGGGGGCTGCCGAGTTTTGCATGGTGTGAATAACACAAACAAAACACCAGATACTTTATCTGTACCTGTGCCAACACAATCACAAGAAATGGTTGCAAAGTGAACATGAGTGGAGAAGCAGGGATTCCTGCACTCCCTTATGGGACTCTGGAGGAGAGACCCTTCTGATCCCAAGGCCCCCTGGGCTCGGGCGGTTGAAGGGCTGTCCAGCACACCGTGCTGCTGCTGTAACCAGCTCGTGCTGCTCGCTGACTTTCAAAGATGGGAGATGTCAACCCCTCTGGAGATGCGATTTGTCTTCCCAAAGGGCCTTCCCTTCTTCGTCGGTCTCAATGTAAATGTAATTACACTTCCTTAGGGGTGTAATCCCAAGAACATCTCTACTGTTCTGCCTTTTTCCCCATCAAACTGTAGATGGGAAAATCAATGTAGCTAGGCAAATAGTGCCCTCTTGTGATCAAAATTAAAAATAAATCGGGAGATAGTGGTGTGGGAGGAACACTCATAGGAGGAAATCTGTTTCAACCATGCACCTACCCAGCAGCCACCAACTGCTTTATTTACACATGCTGTCACCTTTATTTGCACATTGTAACTTAGCCCATTTCACACTGGATTTAACTGCAAAGGCAGGGGACTGGAACATTGGGGGAAGAGTCTTGGGATGTCTTTCCTATGACAGAGTTCTCAGCTGAGGTCCAACAGGCTGAGCGCTACAAGAGCTCAACCATGTACTTTATATCCCGGGGAAAGCTCCCTCGCTCTGTGGGCTAAAAGTTGATGTGGCAGTTGTGGAGCAAGTAGGAAAACTGGATGTTGTAGAATCAAAAGATGTAAGGAGACATTGCCACTTTGAGAGACACTGTATCCTCAGAAGGCGGCATGAGGTATTTGGTGAGAAAATACAACATGTGCTTTTTTCTGAGACACAGAGAACTAACAGAAGGGTTCAGCCAGAACCAAACCCTGCGTCCCGCCATTTCCAAGCCAACTTGTTCCTGCAACTTGTGAACGCTGCTGTGATCCAGCTTTTAGCAATCCTGGCTAACATCCCCCTTCAGCACGTGTGCCCCCCCCCCCCCCAGCCTCCAGGCCCAGCCATGTGCACTGGTATCTGTTGCCTGGGTGTGCTACGGGCTGGCACCGCTGAGCATCAAGTAGGTCCCAGATGGCAAAGCGGCCCAATGTGATACATCCTTTAGCATCCCCTCCTATCACTGCCAGTAAGTTCAGCCCTTGGTGTGTCAGATCCGCGTGGAGGGAAGGGGCCACACACTGATTCCGTGTCAGAGGATGCGCCCCATCAGGGCGGCCGCACCACAGCTTACCTGCTCACACACATCTCCCCTGCCCGAGGGGCACGGGCACAAGCAGCTGCGAGGCTCTTTGAGTACCTGCCGAAGCGGCACCAGCCGCCCTGTCAGCGCGCCGGGCAGAAACGGTCGCAACGGCTACTGGGGGGGGGGGG